GGAGGGGCAGAGGGAAAGAATCTTCAAGCAGATCCTTTTCTGAGCACGGAGCCCCACACGGGGCTCGATCCCATGACCCATAAAGTCATGTCCTGAGCCAAAACCAGTAGTTGGATGCTCAACTGACTGAGCCACCCAGGCCCCCCAACCTCGTCCTGCTCTTAAGAGGCAAGTTAGGAAGGAAAGCTTTTTCTTCCAGGAATTTCCCCGTTTTAGGTCTTATGTTAAACTCTTTAATCCATTTGGAGTGGATTTTTGCATGTGGTATAAGATAAGGACCCAGTGTCATTCTTTTGCATGTGGATGTTGTTCTCCCAGCACCATCTGTTGAAGAAACTCTCCCTTCCTCATTGTATGTTCTGGGAGCCTTCTTCAAAGACCAGTTGCCCGTATGTGTGGATTTATTTGAGGGCTCTTGGCAGTGATTTTGTGGATGTAATACCAAAAGCAGAGGCAACAAAAATAAAAATAAATAAATGGGACTACATCAAACTAAAAGGCTACAAAACAAAGGAAATAATCAACAGAGTAAAAAAAGCAACAAACAAAATGGGAGAAAATATTTGCAATTCATCTATCTGTCAAGGGGTCAATCTTCAAAATATATAAAGAACCCATATATCTCAATCGTAAAAAAGCTAATAACCTGATTTTAAAATGGGCTAAGACCTTAAATAGACATTTCTCCAAAGAAGATACACAAATAATCAACTGGTATATGAAAAACTGCTTAATGTCACTCATCATCAGGGAAATGGATATCAGAACCACAACGTCAGGATGGCTATTACAAAACAAAAACAAAAAACAAGTGTTGGTAAGGATATGGAGAAATTGGAACACTTGCACACTGTTGGTGGGAATGCGAAATGCAGCTGCTATGAAAAACAGTATGGAAGTTCTTCAAAAAATTAAAAATAGTGCTGTCATATGATCCGGCAATCCCACTTCTGGGTATACAGCCAAAGAAATTGAAGTCAGGGATCTGGAAGAGAGATTAGCACTCCCATGCTGGTGGCAGCACCAGGAAGAAACTTTCTGCTTCACTAGACCTGTTACAAAGTTACAGTAATAATGTAGTCTGGTGTGGGAACCGAGTGGTGGAAACAACCTAAGGTCATAGATACATAGGACAGAATACTAGTCCACCTTCAAAAAGGATATTCAGACATACATCACAGTATGGGTGAACCTAAGGATGCCGTGGGAAACGAAATAAGCCAGTCGCAAAAAGATAAAATCCTACATGATTCCACCTCCGTGATCTGAAATCGTCCAACTCAGAAGCACAGAGCAAATTGGTAGTTGCCAGGCAATGGAGGGACAGAAAAATGCAGAGCTACTAACTGATGGGCGTGAAGTTTCAGTCAAGCAAAAGGAGTAAGCTCTAGAGATCCCCAGTACGACACCCAGCCATACGGTATCACGTACTTAAAATTTGTCCCAAGGATAGATCTCGTGAGTGTTCTTATCACACCAAAATAAAATTTTAAAAATAGAAAGAGAGAGAAGTGGTCATTCTCTGGGACATTCAGTTTGAAGTTCAAGGGGACTGAAAGAACTGAGAAAACTCAACCCCCTCACTAGGCAAGGCATTGTTATCTAACAAGTCTGTCTTGCTAGCTCTAGAATCACCACCGGGAACTACCATTCAACCGTACTTAATTGATACAATACTGAGAGGCAGAGAGTTAATGTTGTCAAGCAGTTAGTGTATGATGGAAACCTTAAAGCCACTTCCTCACTCATTCGGTAGCACGACCTTCCAAGGGGGTGTTTGTGATTTCCATTTTACAGATGAGCAAACTGAGGCTCAGAGAGGTGATGGGACATGGCCAGAGCTAGAATCAAGAGCTGGGTCCATCTGACCTTTTATCATGACTCTCAGCAAACGGGACTCGTTCTGCTCACCTCTCCTCTCGTCCCTGCTATCGACCAGCCACATCTATCCACAGGGCCAGGATTCTATCCAGGGTAGAAATGAGTTTTCCTGGAACTGTGGTTCTTTGTTTTCACTGACCGAACACAAGACAATTCTGGAGTATTTCAGAAGCAGAATTATTTCTGTGCCCCAGGTCACGTTTTTACTGTTAGCCTGTCCTTCCAAAATGAAAGGGGCAAACATCAAAGTGTTGGGTGCCGCCTTTTATTAGGAGCTTGGCTGTATTTGATGGTTTGGGGGTTTGGCTTTTACTTCCTAGGAATTGCTCAAAACCAGAAGGGAACTTGGCATTGTCAGGAGGTTTCCGTGGGCCTCGTTGTCCCTTCCCTCACTGGTTCTTTCAGAGCCTCTGCTCATTTCATCAGGGATCACCCTGGGAGGCCCACCATAGGTGGAGGCTGTGGCCACCTCAGGGCCTACTCTGCTCCCCCCAGAAAGGGCCATGTGGCCACACCTAGCATTTCCCTCACGGTATTGATCCAGTGAATACACTAAACAGGTTATCAGAGAATCCCCAGCACTTTCTAGACCTATAGGGAAGGTGCAGGGGAAGAGCCACATAGCCATGCCCTCTGTGGATTCAGGGTCGAGGAGCTGGAGTCGGCCAGCCCTGGGCTCTCCAATCCTACCTACTTCACCAGAGCTTCTGTTTCCCCATCTCTGAAATGGGCCAGCCCTCCCAGCATTACATGGAATGACACAGACGAGGGCGTTTCGGGAGCCGTCGAGTGCTGAGCCGACATAAGGGAATGGTGTTATTGCAGTCTGGGGGCAGCCACAAGATTTCTGCGCACAAAGCAGCCAGGACGCACCACGGTCCAGCATATAATCAGCTCTTTCATTATGTGGTTCTGACTGTATGAGCTGCGGGATTTCAGAGGAAGGAGAGACCCAAGGGGCCCCCCAACACAGCAGCTCATCCCAAGCAGAATGAATCCTCCAAACCAGAAAGAGAAGGAGGTCAGAAGCCAAAGGCAGGGGAGGGAAGTGCCTGCTCTCTCCCTCTTGGGCTCTCTGCCTCCAGCCTGGAAAAGATCAGTCCCTGGGGATTGGCTGCAGAAGAGGAGGTACGTCGAGGCTAATTAAATCAGCGAGCCACACAATAGCAGGCCCTTCACCCCAGAAGGTAGAGCTTGGACAGTGACTAGGGAGGTCACCCTACTAAAACATGTCTACCCACCTCACATCTTCTTCTTTAGATCTGAGACAGCTCAAACCTAGGCATTTGGCTGAAAGCCTGAGCCGGACTCAAAGGCTATATAGCGTCAGCTACCCAGGTGACATCAGTGGGTGAATGAGTAAACAGAACGTGGCCTATCCATACAGTGGAATATTATTCAGCCTTGAAAAGGAAGGAAAGTCCAGCACCTGCTACGACATAGATGAACCTTGAGACCATTAGCTAAATAAAAGCAGCCCAGCACAAAAGGACAAATACTGTATGATACCACTTAGACAAGGTGCTTAGAGTCATCAGAATCATACAGACAGAAAATAGAATGGTTGCCAGGAGCTGGAGGAAGGGGGAACTACTTAATAGGTACAGGGCTTCAGTTCTGCAAAACAAAGCATTCTGGGGATGGAAGATGGGGGATGGTTGCATAACCAGGCGAATGTACTTAATGCCACTGAACGGTGCGCTTAAAAATACTTAAGATGATGGTGCATCTAGCTGGCTCAGTCGGTAGAGCATAGGACTCTGGGTCTCCAGGTCATGAGTTTGAGCCCCGCGTAGGGCATGGAACCTACTTAAAAAGAATGATCAAGATGGCAGGTTTTTTGTGTATTTTACCACAGTTAAAACTTTTCAAAAATCAGAAAAATAAATCGAAATACCCCCGAAGCCCAGAGGAAGGTACAAGTGGAGACTCCCATCTGTCTCTCCGTTAGTCCAGCCCAGCCTTGTGTCAGGGATGGAGTATCACTTTGCAGGGGATGAATGGGAGGTGAGCTTTTAGGGGCTTGTTATATAGAAAATAGAGGACGTGTTTATCTCCACTCCCAACTCACTCAGCATCTGCAGGAGGCACATGAGAGGCACGCAGGAACGAGGCCTTCTGTGGAGAGGAGCAGAGTCCTGCGTCCCTCGGGAACATGCCCTGGTGGGCTGAAATGGCTGGCAGAATTGCACGTGCTGTTTACATCTGTGCATGTGTGCGTGATGTAACATCCTGCCCCGCGATCTGCATCCTCGGGACCTGGGCCAGAAGGGGCTTAAATAAAGATCGGTTGCACTGAGCTCTTTATTCATGATGGAGCGTTGTCATAGTTTCTTATCCTTTCCAGTTGGGGGTGCGTCCCATCCTTTCGTATTGGACATGTCGACCTAGAGATCGTGTCTGTTGAATCACTGAATGGATACCCTTTGGGAGCTGAATGGGCACAACGAATGCCTGGTCCCCTTTGTGCCCTCCACCTGCTCCTTATCCAACCTGCTGGCAGACATTTGAGGCTCCTTTAACTGATGAGCTAGGGTGGCAAATTAATATGGACTGGGGCAATGACAGATGCCAAATGTTCAGTAACCTGGAACTTCTAACCTATACCCAAGTCATAAAGCAGCACCCTCGCTGTAACACGGCAGATCTGTGACTTAAGACACGCGTGCAGGCGTGTTGGAAACCAGCTTAGTGTTCACCAGTAGGCAGCTGGGTCAGTAATGTATGACGCATTTGGGCAGTAGATACACTCAGCATCAAGTCGATGTGAAGTCATAGCAGAATAACGACATGCATGAAGTCCCCAGTTTCATGTTTTAGATAAATGTATACATATTATTTGCTCAGCTATGCCCATAACATGTATGTGCATGTGTGTGTGTGTGTGTGTGTGTACACAGTGTGTGTGCACACATGCATGTGTGTGTGTCCCCAAAGCAGCACATTCTCAGACCCTACCCCAGATCTACTGAATCAGAGCATCTGGGGGTAGGACCCAGCTGTCTGGTGTCACAAGCCCCCCACGTGATTCTGATCATACCCAGGTTTGAGCAGTCCTGACTCATGCCATTCCTGATACCCCTTTCCTTCCTTTGGACTCATTCGTGTCTCTTCTCCAGGCCCTGATCCAGCTGCCCCCCTACATCTCTCAGTGTGATGAGGTCCTGCAGTTCTTTGAGACAAGACCCGAGGACCTGAATCCACCCAAAGAGTAAGTTGGTGTGTGGACTTCCCCAGAACGTGCCCTCATGGCCGTGCCTGCTTCTGGGCCGGTTCCAAGAGGAGGAGCAAAAGTAAAGTAAAAATTAAACTTGACCATCCTGATTGAGCCCTTGTGGGGTCTTGCTCCACGTGGCCCTCACCGAGGAAGGAAGCTGATCCAGGGTCACTACTGAAATCCCTTACATGCCTCTACCTCCCAGGCACGCGTGGAGAGTGCTAAAAGCAGGAGTCTGGGTGCCCTTGGGGTGGGGCCTTGCCCACAAGGGTAAAGTTGTTCTTGAAGGATATGAATGAATGAGTGACATGACCTACTCAAGGTCTCAGCACTTGAGAGGTCATGCTCGCAGCCCAGGGACAGCACGACGGAGCAGCGCAGCCCAGCTCCGGGGCCAGGCCCTGCTGCTCCTCCCAGATGCACGGGAGCGCAGCCCCTTTCTCAGGGATTGGCTTAGCCTCCTCACCCTCTCCTTCAAGGCCCACAGTGACAGAGACAGGGTCATTACCCAATGGTGAAAAAGTCAGACTGGAAAATCAGATTGAATTTGACACTTCTCCTAAGAAGATACACAAATGGCCAATACGTAGAGAAGAGGAGAAGCGGCCCAGCATCCTTAGTCACCAGGAAATGCGAATCCAAACCACAGCCACTAGAATGGCTGGAACCAAAAAGCAGATAGCAGAGAGGGCTGTGGAAGACATGAAGGAACTGGCATCTGTGTGCACTGTGGGCGGGCCCGTACGACGGTGCAGCTGCCGTGGGGGGCGGCCTGGTGGTTCCTCAAACGGTGAGACCTAGAGTTACCATGTGACCTGACGTTCCATTCTAGCTTAGAACCAAGAGAAATGAAAGTATACGTCCACACAGAAGGCTGTGTACAAATGTTCCCAGAAGCATGGTTCGTAAGAGCCAAAACATGGAAACAACCCAGGGCCTGTCAGCTGATGAACACATCAGCGAAGTGTGGTTTACCCACACACACACCAGGATTTTATTTGCCATGAGAAGGAATAAAATACTCATCCACGGTACAAGGTGTCAGGCCCTTGAAAACCGGCCACCTGAAAAAAGCCAGTCACAAAAAGCCTCGTACTGTATGATCCCATTCATATAAAATGTCCAGCGTAGACAAGTCACTAGAGACAGCAAGCACCAATTCGCATTTGCCAGCAGTTGGGAGGAGTGGGAACAGCGAGTGACTGTTCATAGGTCCAGGGTTTCTCTTTGGAATGATGAATATTTTCTGGAATTAGATGATGGTGATGATTACACAACCTTGTGAATATCTTAAAAACCAGTGAACTCTACACTTCAGAAGAATGAATTTTATGGTGTGTGAATTATAGCTCAATTTTTTAAAAATTAGGTGGATCTGGGTTCAGCTTGTTGTTACTTGCTAGCTGTGTGGCCTTAGAGAAGTTACCTAACCTCTCTGGGCCTCCTTTTCCTCATCTAGAAAATGAGCATTAAAAGACTACTTATTTCCAAGGGTTATTATGACTATTAAATGAGTGAACTAAAAGTACCTAGCAAGATACTGGCACGGGGTAATAACATCTAGTAATTATTAGCTGATGTTACTGCTGCCATGACATCTGTCTCAACCCAACTATCCTGTTGCCTCCCTTTTCCCTTTATGATATAGGAAACCTTTTTACTAATGGGATAATTTACCTGAAAGTATTCTGTAATCCTTGATCTGTAATATTGTATCGGTAATGCAGTTGCATGTATAAATTCCAATGTGGTTGACAAATACAAGGGAGTCATTACTCATTCTTCTGTATGAATTCTAGCCCACAGCAGTGTTCTCTATGTCACCGCAAGAGAGATGTGTTTTTTTTTTTCATTGATTTCCAGACTTCTACCCAGTTTTCCTGCGTTCTGCTTACCACGTACCCCCAAAAGCTTTCTGCTCCATGAGTACAGCACAGGGCAGCCCTAAGAAGCGGGGCAGGGCCTCTGCTGGGCCTCATGAGGTGGCATCTGGCTCAGTGCCACATGGGGGCCTAACGTTGTTTTCATACTGCATCCCCAACCTCAGCCCCTCCCTAGGGCCCCCTACTCTGCAAATAAGAGTAGAGAGGCTGGTCTCCTGGGCACCAGAACACTTACAGGACAAAAGGAGCAAATGAAGAGGAATTCTTCCTTTTTCAAAGTCTGGGTCCCTGAGGCTGCCTCTGATTGTATTCACTGGCGATGTTCTGGGATGGAGAATTTCCTGTTCCTAATGGAGTAACTCAGGTCGGTACTAACTCATCATTCTCTCCCACCCCCTTCTTTCCTGTGCAGGGAGCATGTTGGGAAAAAGAAATCTGGTAAGAATATTTTCCATTTTCATTCATTCAATGTTCAACATACCCCTGCTGAGCACCTGTGATCGCCGGGCCCTGGGCACTGCCGAAGGGATACAGCATGTGACTGGTGGGTGGGTGGGTGGATGGATGGATGGATGGGTTGATGCCTGATTGATTGGTTGATACTCCACCCTGCTTACCCACCCCCACCCCAGGAAAAAAAAAAAAGAAAGAAAGAAAGAAAGAAAAGAATTGGAGGTTGCTACATCCTATACCAAAAAGTTACAGACTGGATAAGACCTGCTGTCTTTCCCTGCAACTGTCTCAGAGGAGTAGGGGAGCCCAACACCCCCAACCACCTATAGGGGGTTAAGTACAGAAATAGGGTGCCTCACACCTGAGAGCATTCTTCCCAGGTGTAGAAGGGGTCAAAAAGAAGGGATGCTGGGTCTTGCAGAGTGAGCGGGAGCTTTCCCCAGAGAGGACGGTTGGGGGTCGAGGAGAGCCGCACAGGCGGGCGGCCTAGCCTCTGTTTTTCTGTTACTTGGACACTGTTCTGGGCAGAAACAGCCGCTCTTCCCAGCACCTCCGGCATTCACTCCCTTCTGCCGAGCTTCGGTTCCCTCCCTTCCCAGCCTCCCTTCTCCTCCCTGGAAGTCACAGTTCTTCCCTCTAGAGAAAGAGAAGGTGGGGATTCGGGTGTGCACAAAGGGGTGACTCAGTCCTTGCAGGCCTGGGGTTGATAACTTTAGATTCACAACAGTCTGACCATTTCTTCTAGCGACCCAGGATTACCTGCCCTACCTCACCCCTGCTCCGATATCTGCAGAGTCCCCTGCCCATGACCCCCACACCTGGAGCCAGCATGGTCTTCAGAGCTTCCAGAAGTCTAAGTTCTTTTATGCCTCTAGGACATCTAGGAAGATTGAGGGCATTGATAACGATATAGGGAGAGAGGGGCCAAGCAGAGATTCCGGACGTGAAAAAGAATGCCTCCTCTCATGGCCCCTCAGTTCCCTTATCTGTAAAATGGGGATAATAATAGTAACCTGTCCTGGTGGGTCATTGTAGGATTTATAGTAATATGTATAAAGCATTTGGAACAATGCTTGGCATATTTTAAGTGCTCCGTGTATACTGCTGTCTCTATACTGCCACCATTAATTCAAAGCAACATGGGTGTCCCTGTCCAAATTCAACGGCTCTGGTCCCTTTAACTGCCCCCTGGGTACAAGGGCTGTGGTCAGCTTTACAGGGCCCAGGCCGTTCTTGCAAGGAAGAGTGGAGAGAAACTGGGTCTCTTTCCCTCAAGGCCTGGCATCTGGAACGAATGCCCGCCTTTCCCCAACCAGTCTGTTTATAGCTCCACTTCTGGGTTTAATAGGTACTGACCAGAACCACGGCATCCTGTTAGAGCTGCAGATGGTCCTTGAGCTCTGAGCGTAATGATATGTTTCTTAGAAAAGAACAGAGAGGAGAAGAGCAACAGCCACTCTTGGGCTGGTCACAGAGTTTCTGGCTTTGAGTGTGCAGACATTCCTGAAGGGAACGGCTAAAGGAGGAGAGGAGAGAGACAGCTCTGGTTTGCAAAAACCAAAATGTCTGGTCAGAACAGGCTTGATGAGAGGACTGGTCTGGAAAAGAGAAGAGGCTCTAATTTGTGGTGACGGCTGTTACATCATTCACCTGCAATGATGGGGATGGATTTATTTATAGTTCAGCTGAATGGAAAATAGCATCTTTCTTCATTTAGGCTAACGACCCATGCTGGGATTAGCCTTAGTTTCTTATCTGACCTTTGAACACTTCCTTTATGTTAGAACTAGTCTTCTTGATTGACTGTGAAAGGGATTTCAGATTGACAGCCCAAACTCTGAGATTTCTGTGCCAGAACTCTGAATTGGAGAAAGCTCATCTCTTTCCAGAATTTGCTAGTCATGGCCGGCTGGCTGGCCTCTGCAGACTTTGGCTAATGTGGAATCAACTTCTGTTCATCCGGCAGGAAAAAATCCTCCCACCAAATTTAAGAGGTCATCTGATTATTTAAAGAGCATCTTTCTTCTTGATTTTCCTACCCTTATTGCAATATTCTCTGATTTCCTGGCTTTTTCAGCAAGACTAGCAGTATAGTGAATTTTGGGAAAGAAAATCCCACTTTACCATTACTCACTGTATTAGTCTGGCTTGGGCTGCCATAAGGAAAATACTATTGACTGAGTGGCTTAAACAACAGAAACTTATTTCCTCACAAATACGGAGCCTGGATGTCTGAGATCAAGGGCCAGCACCATCAGGTTCTGCCAAGAGCCCTCGACTGCTGCCTCCTCACTGTGTCCTCCCATGGCAGAAAGAGAGAGAGCAAGAACAAGCTCTCTGGTGTCTTTTCTAGTAAGGGCACTGTCCCCATCATGGGGGCCCCACCCTCCTGACCTCATCTGAACCTAATTACCTCCCAGAGGCCTGCCTCCAAATGCCATCCTATGAGAGTTAAGCCTTCAGCATATGAATTTTGGAGGGACAAAATGCAGTGCATGGCAGTTACCATTAAAATTCAAGACATGTCACCATGAATCAAAACATTCCAGTTAGGAAGTTCTATGGTATCTCGGGCAGTGTACCTGAGAATATTTTACGGCACTTCCTCGGTATTGAAATCACCCTTCCACTGTCAAACCTCTATGTTGACCTGTTTCTTCTCTCCTTCCTGCTGGACCACAAGAATGACGTTCCTTATAGAGGAACACTTAGATTTCAAGCTTGCAGCTCCTAGTACTTAGCTATCTGTGTCAACTTCTAAGTTGCTATTACTCTGCATTGTAGAGCTTGGGCGCAATATCACAGTCCACCAGTAGGTGTCTCCACCTAGCACCTAACTGGCCTGAAGCTAGTTTGAGAATCCTGGTCAATCAAAGGAATGACGTTTTCATAAACTGAGGGCTCTGGGAAAAATGAAGGCAGAAGAACTGGTGCTGGAAAAGCAGCCCCAAGCACTCTCTTCCAACCACTTAACGACAGGAACTCCAGTGTAAAAGCTGCTGTCCTAGAAAAACAAGGAGGAGAGGTTAGACGCAGGCGTGGCCCCTAGCAAGTCTTGGAGAAAGTGCCAGCCGGAGCCCTGTGCCCAGTAGCAGATCTGCTCCTGCCGGCCCAGAGTGCTAAACCTTGCTCCCTGACCTCCGCATTTGCCTGGATTGGTGTCTCGTTTGCAGTGAGTCCTGTGATTTTCTGATTCTTTCACTGCTCTTCATTCTCCCACATCCCCTTGGCAGCCTGATTGGGAGAGTTGGCACAGAAATGAATAGATCAGTCCATTGAACAAAATCCTGAAAATTGGTTGTGGTCCAAATGTACTGCCATCAGTGTTGTTCGACTGCGTGGCAACAGTGAGCTTTCTGGACCAAGTCACCAGACTTAACTGGATCCTGACTCCATCAAAGCTCTGTTCCTGCTTAAAGGCAAGGAGTCGTCGTCTTCAATTGCTGGTGAGATGACCAGGCTTGCCATAACTGTCAGCATTGTGTGCTCTTAGGAGGAGTCCTGAAGTCGTGCACAGCAGAAGAGTTTCTAGAAGTTTCCCTTTGTCCGTTCACTCCACAAATACCCATTGAGTGTATACTAAGTGCTGAGTGAATGAGGCAGACACAGTTATTGATTAAGTGTTTATTAAGTACCTACTGTATGCCTGACAGTGCTCTCTCTAAGCCCCTGGGGAACACAAAGCTGAACAAGATGTGGCAAGTATCCCCACAGTCTGGTAGGAGAAATAGATGGGTAAACAAAATAAAATGTGGTAAGTGCTCTAAAGGAAGGCATTTTAGTTTATTTCTGGAGTAGGAAGTCCTTTAAAGGTGACTTTTAGAATATTCTTTTTTTTTTCCTTCAGATATTTATTGAGTCTAGTAGGTACCATGACGTTCTAGACCAGGGGGTGGCAAACATTTTCTCTTATGGGCCAGATAGTAAATATTTCAGGGTTTGCGGGCCCTGTCAATAATAATAATTTTTCCTTTGCCTCTCTCCTTTACAACCCTTTTAAAAATACAGAAGGTTTCCTGGAGTGCCTGGATGGCTCAGTCAGTTAGGCATCCAACTCTTGATCTCAGGGTCATGAGTTCAAGTCCCGCATTGGGCTCCACACTGGGCATAGAGCCTACTTTAAAAAAAAAAAAAAATCTTTTCCTAATTCCCCTTGCACTGAACCAGACCGTGGGCCCGTGAGCCTTTAGACAGGGAATCCAACAGTAAACAGGAGACTGAGTCCCTGCATTCATGGGGCTTATGTTCTAGAGTAGAAAAATAGACAAAAAGGAAACAAGTAATTACACAGAATCTATGATTTTTTTTAAACACTGTGTTGAAATAAAACTAGGTGAGGTACTCAGCCCCACCATATGAGTTGTACAGAATATTGCTCCTGAATTCGGGACTGTCCTTTCCTTGCCTTTATATACATTAAACGTATGTGAATCTTTAAAAAAAAAAAAAAAAAAAAAAAAAAAAACTAGGTGAAGCAGTGCAAGGTGATCAGAGATCTTGATGAGATGCCATTTGAGCAGGAACCTAAACCATGCATTTACCTGTGTCACACGGGGGAGCGTAGAAAAGATAATCAGAGGGATTGGGCAGGACCCCATAGGCCCCTGGGTTTTTCCTGAGTGAGGTGGAGGCCATTACAGGGTTGTGAGCTTTGAGGAATGTGATCTAACACATCTTTTCAAAGGATCACTGTGGCTGCTGTGTCAGGAACAGATTATAGTGGTCAAGGCTGGGGCAGGAAACCAGTTAGGAGGCTAAGAATAGGTGGTTCCCATTTGAATGCAGGGGAGAGAAGAAGGCATCCCGAGCAGGGAAAACAGCCCATGCAAAGGCACCTTCATGAGGTTTTATAGGTACAACAGGGATGGGGTAGCCAAAAGACAAGGCCATTAAGGCCAGCAGAGTTGATTGTAGAGAACCTGAGGGCAATTGGGAGCCATAGCAGATGCTGAGCAGTGAGCAGCATGATCACAGAAGCATTTTTGGAGTGAGCACTCTACACTATGGAGTCAGAAACAGAGGGGCAGGATAGAGACCAGTTACACGCATCGTTTCCCCCACCATCACCATCCCGAAGAATCCTCTCTCAGACCCTGGTGCAGAGGATGGAGCTCCATGAGGATGTGAGTCAAGTCAGGGGACCGGGTGCTAAAAAGAAAGTACGCTCCCATCAAACCTATGGCTGGATGAGAAAGAATCCAGACCTGCCTCCAAGTGGCAGCAGAGAACCCCCAGGCAGGAGCACAACACTCCCGGACCTCCTGCGGCGAAGACTTGGACACATCTCTGAGAATTCACCTGGGCAGCGGGCACAGGTTCCAGTCTGACTGTGTAGTGGCTGCTTTTCTCCCATCTCTCCAGTTCTTCCTGTCAGGTTGAGAGCCAGGGAAGCACAGTTGCCTGGATACAGCACACCTGAGCCCCAGGTCGGAAGGGTAGCTGCATTCCTGGGGTTGTGATCCCTAAGGCAGGCTGTATCCTGGGATAAAAGCTATGGACTCTGGTCTCTACCTGTTGTATCCTCTGGGGAAATTGTCCCCAGCTTGCAGTGGCCAGGAGCCTCCAGCAAGCCAGTGTCTGTCTCCACTCCCTCATCTGATAGGACCTCTGTGGGCAGAGTGCCCGGTGGTCCAAGATACTGTCGAGACTTCTGCTGTCGGGAGCTTCCAATCTCCTGGTGGCAGTGGGAGAGGCAGTAACAAGCCTGCTCAAAGGCTACTATTGACAGGCTCCGGCGGCTGGGCTGGCTGGGGCGCACTGTCGTGCTGGAGGCCGGGAGGGCGTCAGCCTAGCAGCCTGACCTTGGGGGAAGTGCTGGAGGAGAGAAGATAGCCCAGAACGACACAAGGAAATCAGACCCAGCCTGATTGGTCCTAGGAGGATGTTCCTGGCGATGCACAGGGAAGGAAGGAAAGCGGACCTCAGACGACCCTTCCTTCCCTAGCACCTTTTCTTTCCTCATCTGCCTGCACCATGCCCCCATCACACTGGAGAGCCTCTGAGCCGGACCTCAGGGTGAACCTGGGTCCCGTCCAGCTTTCTCAGCACCCAGCTGTGGGACCCGAGGCAAGTCACTTAATGTCTCGGAGCCTCTCTTTTCTCTTCTATAAAAGGGAGGTGGCTGTACCCACCTTCCAGGGTGGTTGTGTTGACATAGTTTGTGTACGACGTGTAGTTATGTATGATGGCTTTCATGCGAAGCTCCTTCGCTCCCCACCTGCTCCCAAACCTTCAGTCTACATCTCCATCACTCTCCTCTGCTCTCTTTCTCTGTTCCCATGCTTTCTGCACCCAGGGTGGCCCTGGGACCTCCCCGACTCTTGTTTCCCGCCATTACCCTCAGCTGGGAAGAGCCAAGAAGTAGTGACACTTCACCCTGCTACAATGCCCTATTCTGGTTTTCCACATCAGGGATTCAGAGCACATGGCTCTAACAAAGGGCTTTTGTGCTGCTTCTGGATGCCAGAGGCTGGGGCACACTGGTGTGCTGGTAAATAACTTCACAACCAGCTTTCTGATCGAGAGCGCTGCTTTGTAGCATTTGCCAATATTGATGGTGTAAATACTCCCACTGTGGCCAGGTTCAAGCCACCAACAAGGCGTCACCCGACAGAGCCAGGAAGGGACCCACAAAATCGGCTCAGGGTGAGGTGGCCCTGGCACCCCACTCCATTACTGAGTTGTTTGGACACAGAAATGTGGGATTTCGTGGATATTGCAGTTGTTTATGGAAACAATAGGAGGCAATACTGTGAATCAGGACTTGCACAAAACCAGGGCCTTGTGGCCACAAATGTCTGCCTTCCCACCCCCTTCAGTCCGCTGCTCTCAAAGGCCTGTTTCCTTCTCTTTGGAATTTCTGAACTCGGATGTCCCTTTACATCACCTATGTCGTAGGATATCTTCCTTTATGAATCAGGTATGTCTTGGTGTTTCACTGGGACCACACAACTCCAGGAGGCACCATCCACATCGCATCCCGTGGAAACTGCCTTTCCTGGAGCACCTGTCCATGCCCATCTCTTCCCGCTGCCACTGCCATGGTCCAAAGCCACCGTCATCTCCTAGCTGACAACCCCATGACCTGCATCTAGTCTCCTGCTTTCTTACTTGCCAGCCTCTAATCCGCGTTCCATGTGGCGGCCAGAATTATCTTTCTGAGGATGTAAATCTGTACTTGTCATTCCCTTCTTAACACCCTCTAGTGGCTTTCTACTCGAGGCTTAAAAAAAAAAAAAATCCAGGCTTCTTACCTGTCTGTTCTGACCATGCCTGCCTGTGTGTCCTCATACGGGACTGCTCTCCTCTCTCGCGCCAGCCCCTTGGCCTCCTCCCAGGCCCCTTCCTATCTGAGAGGCGGTCTGCATCATTGTTTCCGCATTCTCTCATGTCTCCTGTTCATGTCCCCTCCTTAGGCAGGTCTTGCTGACCACCCCATTGAATGTGGCATCCCCTTTCCTGATCGTTCTTGGTCCAACATCCTGGTTGTCTCCAGCAATGCACCTATCAAAAACTAATACTTACATTATCTTGTATACGTATTATTATTCATGTTTCTCTCTCCCCAAGGAGGTGAAGTTACTTGAGCCTGGGAGTCATCTGTTCCGTTCACTTTAGTGCCCCCAGCATCTAATAGAGTGTCTGGAGCATCACTGGTGACATCCTGAATTCATAGATGAGTGACTTGGGATGGGTGGATGTTTGGTTGGTGGATGAGTAATGGCAGAGGAATGAATGGATGGATGGAAGATTGGTAAGAGGGAAAGCATTTTCCTACTAGGCTGTTGGCTGCTTCGGGGCAGGGACCATAATCTTGACCAACTCTGAATCCCCAGTGGCTCACACAGTGTCTGCATTGAATAGGCACGTGGTCAGTTTTGGTGGCTGCATGGGCAAATTAAGGAAGAGTGAATAGATGAGGGGACCTTTGAGATAAGTCCTGTAATAACTCTGTCTTTGAAATGTTCTCCTGACCCACCCTACTCCCTCCGGCTCCTGCTCCTTCACATGTGGGTGGTGGCTAGAGGTGACATCTGATGAGGTTTTGTATCCACAGGGGGTGACCTGACCTCAGTGGACCCCATGGTCCTGGAGCAGTATGTGGTAGTGGCTGACTACCAGAAGCAGGAGAGCTCAGAGATCAGCCTCAGCGTGGGGCAGGTGGTGGACATCATCGAGAAGAACGAGTCAGGTAGGGGAACAAAGCCACCTCCCTCCCTGCCCTACCTGGTCACCGAGCCCCTAGGATAAGAGAGAAACACAAAAAGTGGAAGCACAGGAAGTGCCATGGCTGGTCTGAGCTGGGCAGTTTCCACAGATCCAGCTGACACCCTGTCAGAAAGCTATCCCCGTTGGATCACAGTGCTTGGACATCACTTGGTCACAACGCACCAGCACCCTACGGGTTCACTGTTACTGCTTTTTTCTGAGGGTCTCATTGCATGAACGTGTCTTCTGGTTTCCAAACACTTGGAGACATGGGGTCCAGCATTCCCCTGGATGGAGCCCTGAAGGCTCTGTCAGTTGTGGGCTCTGATGGGACGGACACATCGCCTGTCTCCTCGGCCCGCCTGTCCTCACAGGGATCCCTGGTCATGTACACCAGCCAGGTCTGGGATGGAAGGTGTATGATCAGACACTTAGCCTGCGTTTCCATCTGAACTCTGCATTTCACAGCAGTCCAGCTTGCTGCTTCTCTCTGGCCATCAATTCTCTTGTATGCAAAATAGAAGAAGCTTCAGGGCACCGTCGGTTGAGTGCCTGACTCTTGGTTTTGGCTCAGATAACGAACAATCTCTGGCGGTTGTGGGATCAAGCCCTGCGTCAGGCTCCAAGCTCAGCCTGGAGTCTGCTTGGGACTGTTTCCCCCTCTCCCTTTGCCCCTCCACCTTCCTCCCTCAAAAATAAATAAATAAATCTTCTAAAGAAATAGAATAAACTTCTACCTCAAAGAGCTGTTACAAGGATTAAATGAGATGCTAGAGTGTGCCTACACCTAGGCCCAGCACACAGTAGGTACTCAAGAATGTGGGTTTCCTTTCCTCTTGCCTTCCTTAGCCACAAAGCAGCCATTGGCAAGGAGCAAGGAGTAGGGGATGAGCAGATTCTCTCCAGGAAAACGTAGCAAAACCCACTGGCTTTATTGTGCCTAAAATGCGACATTGCCTAATAATATCATTAGCAGGCCAGTCTCTGCGACATCCCAGTGGCTAGTAGTTTGCATCAGCATCTGGATCATGTTACTGTTCATCATGAGATCAGCGTTAGCCAGCCAAATTCTTTAATATAGCAACTGCCATCCCCACTGTATAGCTGAAGAAACAAGAAGACTCCAGGTCCCGTGCTCGTTCACCCAAGATCTCACAACAAGTTACTGAGCTGGAATTCTTTTTTTTTTTTTTTTTTTTTTTTAAGATTTTATTTATTTATTTGACAGATCACAAGCAGGCAGAGATCAGGCAGAGAGAGAGAGAGGAGGAAGCAGGCTCCCTGCCAAGCAGAGAGCCCGATGTGGGGCTCGATCCCAGGATCCTGGGATCATGATCCAAGCGGAAGGGAGAGGCTTTAACCCACTGAGCCACCCAGGCTCCCCACTGAGCTGGAATTTTTAAACCAGTTCCCGCTGGCTCCAAGGCCATGTGACTCTAATTCTTGGGAATAAGTATATGCAGCTGATCTAAATCTTGGGAATGAGTATATGCAGATTATGGGTGTGGCTAGGGTGCCCCGCAGGGACTAGTAAGGAAGTCACCCCCACCGCCCTGAGCAGCCTGTGAGCCTGAAGTCCAGAAGAATACATTGCCAGGAGAAGAGTAGGAGCCAGGATGGGCTGTTGAGAATAAGGCTGGTATGTGCAGAGGCAGTGGGGGAAAGTGGGCCGGCAGGAGGTCATGTCTTACAGTGGCCAACAAACTGGCAACAATTTTTTTAAATTATATTTTACAGATCCAAGTAATATGTAGGGACATTCTTCTTAAAACATTAATGGTAGGGGCGCCTGGGCAGCTCGGTCAGTTAAACGTCTGCCTTCGGCTCAGGTCATGATCCCAGGGTCCTGGGATTGAGCCCCACATCGGGCTCTCTGCTCTGCGGGGAGTCTGCTTCTTCCTCTCCCTCTGCCTCTCTCTCCAGCTTGTACTCTCTCAAATAAATAAATAAAATCTTTTTTTAAAAATTAAATTTAAAAAAAATTAATGATAAAGTTAAAATCTATTTTTTTCCACTAGCTTCAACCTTAGTCCCCTTTCCAAGCCCCAGGTAGACCTTCTTTCAGTTTACTGTGGATCCTTCTTGGTAATGTATACACATATATGTATGTGTGTATGTGTCTTCATGCATATGCATGTCTACATGTGTCTGTGTTTGTATGTGGCCTATCTACATGTGTGCACGTGTGTGCCCATACAGAGATATATAACCATATGCACACCCGATAGTTTGCGTGTAGTGATAGGATTCTGTAGTTTTTTTAACCCCAGTGGTACCACTCTGTACATTTTGATCATTTCAGTCTGCAACGTGCTTTTTAGTCAACATTTAGCTCTTCTTCCTTCAATATCTGCATATTCTTTGATCTGAAAAAATCTTATTTTTTTGTAGCATGAACAGTGTATCTGAGCACACTGGCGAGTCCTCTTTAGGTTAGGTATGACACACAGTACTGAACCATAGGCACACATATTTTGAATTTGAAGACACTGCCTAATGACCTGCCTCCAAACTGGCTATGGCAGTTGACCCTCCCCATGGCACCGTGAGGCGTTAGTGTGTGGATGGTTGAGGGCTAATAAGCCCTGGAGGCTAAGACAGCCTCGGACTGAATCCCAGATCTGCCACTTTCTTTGTGACCTTGATCAAGTCCCTGCCTCTTTTAGAGCCTCAGCTTCCTTGTCAGTAAAATGGGGCGGTCACATGCACCTCCCAGGGCTTATGGGAGGATCCAGCCGGTCAGTAGTCTGGGTGAAGCTCTGACCCAGTGTGGCACACACTGCCGTCATTTTTGTTGTATTGCGACAGTTGCTTAACCCCCACACAAATACCTACAAAGAGGAGTTCTTAGGAAGACAGACCACATACCTTCCAGTTTCTGGATGTGCACTGATTTGTCCGCCCTGTTCACTCACTCATACACACGTACACGGTGCCCAGCCACCAAACCTTGTATCTTATATTGTTATTTTATTTAAAGATTTATTTATTTATTTATTTATTTATTTATTTATTTATTTGAAAGAGAGAGAATTGGGGGCAGGGTCAGAAGCAGAGAGAGAGAATCCCAAGCAGACTCCCTGTTGAGCATGGGCAGAGATTGATCCCACAACCCTGAGATCACAACCTGCACTGAAACTGACAGTCAGATGCTTAACCTGCTGAGCCACCCCAGGCACCCTCCCAAAACTTGTATTTCAAAGGAGCATCTAGTTGAGTAAAGCAGCTGACTTCTGCCTCAGGGAGGTCAAAAGCAAAGGCCTCCCTTTAAGACCAAGAAGGCTGTTCAGTAGTCTGCCCCTTCCTTCTCTTCTTTTTTGGGGTATCTAGGTCTTGGAGGTGTGTGATCTTGGGGAGCAGATCCTATTTTTCTCTATTTTTTTTTAAGATTTATTTGTTTGAGAGAGAGCATGCATGCATGAGAGCTGGGTGAGAGGCAGAAGGGGGAGAGAGAGGATCTCAAGCAGACTCCCCACTGAACGTGGAGACCACTGTGGGGTGCAGGCCCAGGACCCTGAGAACATAACCCAAGCCAGAACCAAGAGTCGGGTGCCTAAGGAACCAACTGAGCCACCCAGGTGCCCCCAGATCCTGTTTTTCCACTGATATCGTGCAGACCTGTTGGGCCATGTGGCAATTTACCATTGCCATTGTGACCAGTCACCACAAACTTAGTGGCTTCAAACAGCATAAATTAATTATCCTATAGTTCTGTAGGTCAGGAGTCCAAAATGGGCCTCACTGGGCTAACATCAAGGCTTTGGCAAGGCTGAGTTGCCATCTGCGGTTTCTGGATAGGATCTGCTTCTTTGCCTTTTCCAGTTTCGAGAGGCCACCGCACCCCTTGGCTCATGGTCCCGGCCTCTGTCTTCAGAGCCAGCCGCACTGCACCTCTCTTGTCTTTCCTCCACAGCCTCATCTCCCCAGACTCTTCTTCTGCCCTCCCTGTAATTAATTCCACGGGGCCCACCCAGGTCATCTCAGATAGCCCCCCTATTTTAGCTTGGCTGCTTTACAACCTTAATCCCACCCCCTGCAACCTTAATTCCTCTGTCCCACAGAATTTACCATAGTCACAGTTTCCGAGGATTAGGACATGGACATTTTTGGCAAGTCATGATTCTGCCTACCATGGGGTACAAGCTCTTTCTCAAAAGAAGGAGGGCCTGGGGGCGGTCTGGGGGCCCCTGGGTGGCTCAGTGGGTTAAAGCCTCTGCCTTCAGCTCAGGTCATGATCCCAGGGTCCTGGGATGAAGCCCCGCATCAGGCTCCCTGCTTGGCGAGGAGTCTGCTTCCCCCCACCCTCTCTCTGCCTATCTCACTGCCTACTTGTGATCTCTGTCTGTCAAATAAATAAAATCTTAAAAAAAAAAAAAGAAGAAGAAGGAGGGCCTGAGGGTCTGGGTGAGAGGCTTCTCAAACAGTTACATTCCAGCCAGCTCGACCCTGCCACGAGCAAATGCAAGATCAGTGTCTCGGCTAAGTCATGAGAACGGCAGCTTCAGACATCAGACAGCCCTGAGAGCACCTTGCAGCTCCTGCCGAAGCCATGTGAACTTGGACAAGCCTACTTGCTTCTTGGAGCCTCGGTTTCCTCATCTATGCTATGGGGATGAGAATGTGAAGATGAGATAAAATAGTGCAAGTGAAGGAGTTAGTGCATACCTTAGTGCAGATAGCCACGTTCTTTACTCTGGTCACTCAGGATGACCTTTCTGTCCCCTGTCCCAGACTCAGGAGTGGATTTCCTTTTAGGCTGCCCTGAGCAGTTAGCAGGCAGCTAAAACGGGGAGTTGTGTTCCACAGTAAAATGGTGTCTCTTTCGCCCTACCCCGAGCACTGACTCATGCAGGGGCTGAACATTACTATATTCTGACCCCCAGGCTTCACACCCAGCTCAACTAACCTCAGTCTGCACTCTCATTTCCCCAGGTTGGTGGTTTGTCAGCACTGCCGAAGAGCAAGGCTGGGTCCCCGCAACCTGCCTGGAGGGGCAGGATGGTGTGCAGGATGAGTTTTCCCTACAGCCCGAAGAAGGTAGGAAGGAGCTGGAACCTTGCGCTTGCCAGAGAGACCTGTGCTGGTCATCACCCACCTGGGGACCTCCTTACCCAAACCCTCCCTGCCCTTCAGCCTCTGCCCCCAAGTTTCAGTGGCTCGCTGGCCTAAAACTAGGCCATGGGCTTGGGGCTGACAGCAAGCCTGCGCTTTCTTAGGGTTTTTGGGAGCCAACCCAGGTGAGCCTGGCCGGAGCTGGGACCCTAACACCTCCATGGGACCCCAGGAGGGCCCCAGCTTGATCACTGTCAGCACCTCACCATTCCTCCCTTGAGCTATTCTGATAGCCAAGATGCTGGGGCTCCTTCCATCTCATTTGTGAGACATCTGAAGCTTTCTAGAAACATCTGTGCTTTCTCAGTGACCGGACTGGGCATCAGGATTAGGGCTGACCTTTTCCACTTACTTCCGTTACCAGGAGAACTTACCTCCAGGTGTCCCAAAGGGTGGTTCCTGCAATGCCAGAAATACCATCACCCGACCGACTCTGATTTCCCCAGGAGGAGCTTTCCTGAAACCAGTGGACAAGTTCATCTTAGCTAATAAGCAGAAGGCTTTGAGAGCTAGACAGACCTGAACGTGGATCAGCTGCACCATTGCAGGGAGAGTGGACCAGCAGCTTCACCTCTCCCTGCCTTAGCCCCCTCCTCTGAAAATGGAGATGATGATATCTATATCATGGGATTTTTTTTTTTTCTTAATTAAATGGGGTTCCACATGCAAAATGTTCAGCAATAAATAACCAGGAACAGTTAATAGATAGCTATGTCTTAACCCAGGGCTGAACATTTGGGGCTTTTAGCTGACTGTTTTGGGGAAAGCACAAAACTACTGTCTGTATTTATCAGAAAAGAGGGTGAGAAGAAGGGGAATATTTCTGTGCCCAAAAGTTTGCAAACAAATGTGTAAATTGTTTTTCATTTAGTTTTATTATGGCCAGCACCCCTCAGAGTAAAATGTCGGTGGATTTGCTCTGTTTTGGGGCGGCCCTCCAAGGCACTAGGGGCTGGGCCAACTAAAAGAATCAACTCAGATTCAGGAGTTCTGATATACTACATGGAAACTAGTTCCCTTAGACAGTTAATGATGATCATTACAGGCATCACTCTGTAAGGGATTGATGATTAACCCCATTTTACAGATGAGGAGATAGGCTCAGAAAGGTAGAGACACCTGCCTGGGGTCACACAGCTAGAAGGTGGGAGAAATACTATATTTTCCTGAGTCTGTACATTTTTCTTCCCCCTGACACAAGGGCTTCTCTTAGTGCCTCTTTATAAATCACGCTAGGAATAGGATTAAGTCCACTGGTGGCCTCTACACCCAAGTCCAAGGTTAATACTCAAGAGCTTGGTCCTTTTAAGACACCTGGGGCTTGGCATAGGCTCAGAAATAATTACTCCTAAATGGAAACGTGCACTCGGTGTATCTTTTGCCTCCAGACACTGGAAGTGCTTTGTCCTCACCTCTGCCTTCTGTCCTTTACCTCCACATGCTGCCTGTCCAGTCTCATGGAGGTACTGGTCTTTGCCCCGGCCCATGGGCCGCCGCCGGACTCTGGGGGACTTGTATGCTACCAGCTGGCGTCAAGGTGCCTACCTTGGGGCTTTCTTGCCTGGTCGGTTTGGAGCCGGTTCCTTGCATCTGCATGTGCCTTCCTGCTTGGGGACTGCCCGTGCCTGTTGCATGTGAGAAACAGTGACCTTGTCTGTACTGTGTGTGTGTTGGCATGTTGGCCTGGGCAGTATTTCTCAGCCTGGGGCTCTAAAGTCTCCCAGGTGAAAAACTCATGCCTGGGGCCTATCTAATGCCGAGCCGGTGACCTCTTTCTTTCATCAGACACGTTACAAGGGAAAGAAAGCCATGCCAGATTATCTTAAGCAAAAAGGGAAGTACACCATCTTGTCACTGAAAAGTCTGGGGAAGGACTAGCTTCAGGCATGGCTGGATCCAGAGGCTTGAAAACATTGTCGGCACCTGGGACTCACTCTCCCCACCTCTGCTCTGCTCTCTGCTTTGCTGACACTGTTTTCTCATGACAGCAGTTGTGGGCCCCTTTCAGGGATTCAGGGATACCCACCCAAGGAAGTGCTTCTCCCTCAACACAAGTCCTAGGACGGGGGCTGACTGACCCACTTGGGTCACATGCTCTCCTGGAACCCACCACCACAGTGGCCAGGGGAAGAGCAGAGGATGAGAAGCAGGCAGCGTCAGCAGGCACCTGCCAGCAGTCTGCTTGGTCCCCCACCTTAAGCTTTGTTAGGGACCGCTGAGTGTTTCATGGAGCCCGGGGAGAGCCTCCTGGTGCCAGAGACTTTCCCTGTGTAATTCAGATGAAGGATGGGGCCGGGCCCCACGGGCGTCCAGGGCCCACAGGACTGCCTGCATTTAGTCTCGGATCCAGGCAGCACCCCTTCCCTACCCAACCAAATAGAACTTCCGTGCATCTTCGGGCTTGAATGACCCCCCGGCACCCCTCACAGTGCCCACCCCCTACCCTGCAGCCACCATGAGTGAGGGAAACAGCTGACTGCCGTACACAGGATCTGTGTAACTTGAGTCAGCTCGGCCCCCACAGAGCAGGTCAGTGGGCTAGATCAATCAATAAATAAACTCCCTGTGTGTCTACCGCCTCCCTTGACACCAGTTGGACAGGCCACAGACAGCCCATGGTGTTTTCCCAAAGCGGGAGAGTCGGCCCCAACACACTGGCCGTCAGCGCCAGCCCACAGCTGGCTCGGTCACTCCCTAGGGGCCAGAATGTAACCAAAACAGGAAAGCCCTTCTCTCTCCTCACCAGGGTCCCATGGGACACTCATTCATTCTCCACTGCTGACAGCATGGAGCACGGGAGCTCTTCTCTTGTTCTCTGGAGGGCCCTACCACAGTGTAACAATGAGCAGTCTCCCAGCAGAGCCTGAGCAGTGGTCCCGTGGCTTTGAGGGGAAAGAGTCGGGAACCGCAGAGAGGGAGGTAGAAGGGACCCCAGTTACATTAATGAAAATCGAAGCAGGCAGTGATTCTACCGTGTGTGTGTATGTACATATATAAAATCATGATGTCGTACACTTAGAACTAAGACAGTGTTAAATGTCAATTATATCTCAACAACAAAAAAAGCCAAAACATTAAAAATAAAATTGAAGCTTGGGGCGTCTGGGTGGCTCAGTGGGTTAAAGCCTCTGCCTTCGGCTCAGGTCATGATCCCAGGGTCCTGGGATAGAGCCCCGCATCGGGCTCTCTGCTCAGCGGGGAGCCTGCTTCCTCCTCTCTCTCTGCCTGCCTCTCTGCCTACTTGTGATCTCTGTCTGTCAAATAAATAAAATCTTTAAAAAAATAAAATTGAAGCTTCAGGCGTGGTTGGATCCAGGAGCTTGAAAGCAATTAATGAAAAACGAAGATCAGTTACCAGCTAGGTAACAAAAATTGCTATAAAAATTAAAAAATAAAGGGGCGCCTGGGTGGCTCAGTGGGTTAAAGCCTCTGCCTTCGGCTCAGGTCATGATCCCAGGGTCCTGGGATCGAGCCCCACATCGGGCTTTCTGCTCGCTGGGGAGCTTGCTTCCTCCTCTCTCTCTCTCTGCCTGCCTCTCTGACTACTTGTGATCTCTATCTGTCAAATAAATAAATAAATAAATTTTTTTTTTAATTAAAAAATAAAGATGGGGCGCCTGGGTGGCTCAGTTTGTTAAGCATCTGCCTTCATCTCTGGTCATGATCTTGGAGTCCTGGGATCGAGCCCCATGTCAGGCTCCCTGCTCAGCAGGGAGTCTGCTTCTTCCTCCCGCTGTTCATTCTCTCTTACTCTCAAATAAATAAAGTCTTCTTTTAAAAATTTTTTAAAAGAAAGAGAGGGAGGGAGGGAGGAAAGAAGGAAGTAAGAAAATTGCCAGCTCTTGCTTCCTTGATAGTGATTTCAGCCTGAAACCTGCCACCAGAGATTCGGCTCATCCCTGACTCCCTGACCCTCGATCAGCCAAACTGTGGAGCAGCCACAGATGAGTTAACCCCCTCTGGCTTGAGCAAGGTGGCTCTCACCAGGCCCTTCATTTACTAAACATTGACTAATGTACTGAAGTTACACAGTATTCCTGGGACCATGCCCAGTGCTAGAGGCAGGGGAGTGAACAAGACAGACACAAATCCCTGCCTTCGTGGCGTTTATATTCTAGCAAGGAACACAGACACAAAACACAATAAATAAGAAATTATATGCTGTGTTAGAAGGCAATTCCTGGTTGGGGGCGGGGAATAAACCTAGGTAAGGGGATGAGGTTGCCGTGGGTCTGAATACTGCATAAAGCAGGGTCGAGGAAGGTGAGGATGAATGTGTGACACTGAGGGATTTCAGAAGGACTGGGACCTGACCTTTGTCCTGCATCCTGTTCTACTTGGACAGGGCAGTCCAGATCCAAATGAGGGCCTAGAGGGTCCCCAGAAATTTCTGGAGGAAATCCAACTCTGATGCGCAAGGCATCTCGTGGATCACAGCCTTGGGATCATCTGCATCCCAGGACTCTCACCATCCTTGACTTAACCCCCCATCCCTTTGTTCCCACAGAGGAGAAGTACACAGTTATCTACCCATACACAGCTCGTGACCAGGATGAAATGAATCTAGAGAGAGGGGCCGTGGTGGAAGTCATTCAGAAAAACCTGGAAGGCTGGTGGAAGATCAGGTACCTGCTGCAGCTGGGTGGGTTTCAGGTCACATGGTCTCTGGGTGCCCATAGGTCTGTAAATGATTACTGATGGATGGGGTAAGGTTTTCGCCTGAGCCATAAAAAGACACCCAGCTTCTTGGTGTCCTTTGACCTCCCTCCCTATCCAGATCCTTCTCTAAAAATCTATAATAAGCAAGATCTCCAAACACACAGATGGCCATAACCTGGTTGACCAAGACTGGTTTCCACCTCCACGTAATTCTCATAAAGAGAAGCTGTGCTGCCCGGTGTGAGTAATTCCCTCCCCAGCCTCGCTCTGAGACCAGTGCATTATGAAACGCCACAAGGACCGTAATTCATCCTTGGGCTGATCACATGCCCTCACCTCACGGAGTCCGGTGGTAAAAGCAGGAGACCAGCTTTCTAGATCTCTGTCACAGCCCTTTTGCCTGCTGTGATGAATCAGCACCCCACAAGTTTGTAGGATGGCAAACTCATTCTGGCCTGTATGGTACTTCCCAATTTTGGTAATGAAAGTCCTGGGCACCCCTCCTTGGTCACCCTAAGTAGGCAGGCTGTGGCTGCAAGAAATGAGTACAAGGAAAGAAGCCTGAGGTCCCTGAGACCTGGTGTCTGGTCAGCAACGTGAAGCAGGGCATTAGGACTTCTTGTCGGGGGCCATGCCTGTGGCACTTTGTCCGTTCATTCAACACACACACACACACACACACACACCAAGAATGTGTTCAAGCCAAGCCCTATTCTGGGAGTTGGGGAGTCAACGATGAGAAAGACACTGGTTCACAGCGGAGGCACAGAAGTCAGGCTTAGTTCCAGGATGGGGATGTGTGGGGACCCAGACCCCAGAAGAGGGGCTCCTCAGCCCAGGGGTCAGGAAGGCTTCCCGAGAGAGGAAACTGGGGAACTGAGGCTTGAAGCAGGAGTGGGGACAGTGACACCTAACATAGGTATAGATGGTATAAGATACTTAACTAGTTATCCCAGAATTCTGTGGCTCTAGAGTTCAGGTGTGGCTTCACCAGTCCCTCATGAGGTTGCTGTAGGGCGTTACCGAGGCGTGCCATCATCTGAAGGTTCTACTGAAGCTAGAAAGGGACAGAGCCGGGATTTAAACTAGTACCTTTCTCCCCCAGAGACCTTTCCCCTCCATGTGTTAGCTCTGCTTACAGCTTCATGACCGCAGATGGTCAGCTGTCTTGTACTGAGGGCCTGAATGGGACGTAGCACAACGGTTTCCAGCAAGGACAAGATTTATTCCCTCTCAGAGGGTATTTTAAGACTGAAAGACACCAAATTCTGCAGATTTCTCTCGTAGAAATTGGCTTCCAGTTATCAAGGACCTTTTTATTATCGAAACACAGTGTCATTTAATTCTTAAAGTGATTCCTGACAAGAGATTTGGCCTTGCCGTATGTCCTCTCTAGTCATTTAGGTCTTCTTAACCGTCCCCAAAGGTGTGGGCACCTGTTTTGTGGGCCCTACCAGTGGGTTGCTTGTAACTAGTTAACACCAAGGGAATGATGCCCTTGAGTTGCGTGTTTGCCAATTTCTATAGCGTAACTGCTCCCATCGGGTGACTTCAGGGCACCCATGCAGCATCAGTAACTGGGGGTTTGGGAGAGATGGACACAGCTGACCATCGCAAGCTGGTACAAGTGGGCCCCAGAGTTCCTCTGGTCCAGATGGACCCCTCTGGTCATGCTGTTACACTGAGCTCTGTCGTGCAGAGAATTAAGTGAGCATCTCACTCACTGAATCCCTTTTGGAATTCAGTGAGCCCTGTGTCAGGGTCTCAGTCACTGTGCAGTTCAGGGACCGCCAGCTGATTCTGAGCAGGCCCTGGCACCAGCTCCTGACAGGCTTCACTCCCCTGTGAAGGGAACACATTTAACCTACATGTTAACCAGTGTGAACGGAGTCTGCCCTGCCCTTGCCAGCCTTTGTGTTGGAAGCTGGGGCTGCTGGGAAGAGGCAGTGACATGCAGAGGTTAGGAGCACAGACTAGGTCTGCATCCATTTCTGCCGCCTGCCAGGCTTGGATGGATGAAATACGTCCCAGCTATAAAGTGTTTAGAACAGACTGGCACGCAGGAGGTGCCCACTAAGTGCCAGTTATCATGGTCGTCGTCGTCATCACCACAGTGACGGTAACTGGACAGTGAGCGTAGTGGGTGTTTATGGCTGCTGGCCTTTGCCAGGCCCATGGGGACTTTGTCCACTCGTCCTTTCATTTCTTCCTTCAGTTCACTGGCCCCGAGGCTCTCTCCATACAGTGATCCATCCAGTGCCATCTCTGCCCAAAGCGTGTGTGTGTGAGGTCACTGGGGACACAGAACGGCCATAGCCAACTGTGGCCATTTGTCATAGCTGCTGGCGGGGGTGGTGTGTTTGGGAGACAGTGGAGCACCGTGGAAGGAGGGCTTCATTCTCTGTGAGGCTCAGGAAAGGCTTGAGAAAGGAAATGACATTAAGTAGAAGAGCAGGAGGAGAGAGGGAAGGTGCTTTCCAAACACAGGATTTCCAAGAGCAGAGGCTGGGGGAACGAAAGATGGTAGTGTACTGGGGAGACTACAAGCCTTTTGGGGTGGGAAGGACATGAGGTTGCTGTGAGGGATGAAGCTAAGGATGCCAGTAGAGGCCGGGTTGGAAAGGCCTTGAATGCCAAGAGGGCAGCAAGGGGTGCGCCAGCCTCTGACCCATCATTCCTGCCATCTGGGACTTGGAGCACAGCTTCTTCCCATGGGCCCGGCAGAGCAGCCTGTCCAGCATCCTTCCTCCTCCCAGGTACCAGGGCAAAGAGGGCTGGGCCCCAGCCTCCTACCTGAAGAAGAACAGTGGGGAGCCCTTACCCCCAAAGCTGGGCCCTGGTTCATCCGCCCACACCGGCGTTCTGGATCTGGATGGCGTTTCCCGGCAGCAGAGTTCAATGGGCCGGGACAGGGAGCTGCTCAACAACCAACGGGACGGCCGGCTTGAAGGCCGCCCAGTGCCTGATGGCGACATCAAACAGAGTGAGTGACTGCCCCCCCGCCAAGCTCCGGGGAGCTGCGTGGCTACTGTGTGCCAGGCTCCATGCTCTTCACATGGTGTCCCTCATCCTCACAACAGCCCTGCTGCCCGACACCCTGTAGACAGGAAAACATGCACAGACATCTTAGGTAGAAATTCTAGACCATGGTTTTCCACCATCTCATGGTGATCGCAGGAGCTACTTTTCCTCAAGCCCTACTGTGTGCCAGGAATCTTAAAATTAGTCTCCTTAGCCCCAGAGACATAAGGTGGTTTATCCAGGGCCATCCAGCTAGTCAACAGTGGGGCTGAGACTTGAACCCAGGCCCACCTGACTCCAGCACGTGTGCCCTCTCTGCATGGACACACTTCAGAGCCAGAAGTTGTTGACCTTGTGTTGAGTTCACTCTAACCGCAGTTCTTTACCCATCTTCCTTTCTAGCACTTCCCATGTTGACATTTCTCTTTAATGTCCCCGACACACACAAGAGGCGGGCTCCTTATTTTTGTATGTGACCGGCACAGGACCCTAGCCTCAGGCACGTGGCCCTGGCCTGGTCACAGGGGCCAGGAGGAATCTGACTACTGGGAAAGTCCCCTGACCTCCCCCTGGTTAGGCTTCTCCAGCTATTTCTGGTGGCTCAGCAAACTTCTAGAAGTCAGTGAATTCTTGAAACTCAAGAATTTCTCAATCCTCTGCTCAGCTGATTTCTCAGAAGAAAAACATTGACATGCCATGGGGGTGGAGGGGTTGATTTTGGCCAGCCCCTGCTCTCTGTGGTTCTGTCATGGGCAAGAACCCAGGAGGATTCCCATTAACACTAGAACAAATGAGAATCTGAAACCCAAGTCTTTGTGAGGATATAGGTTCAGATGCTCAGGCAAAGACACTCCCCGCCCCCTGCCACACACACATACCCCCCCAATAACGAGGCTCAGATAATTTAGATGTTTGTGTCTTTCTCACGAAGCGGTCCTGCTTTATGTGCAGAGCCTCCGCGGCAGGCAGGAGTCCTGTCACATGGTGTCTGTCTTGTGTTGTCATCTTTCTGGTCCAAGATGGCACCCCTCTCATCCAGCCAATGAAGAAGGCAGGGAGAAGTAGAGGACTTGACCCAGAAGCTACACACTTTGCTCTCTGCCATGTCCCACTGGCCAGAACTGAGTCATCACCTAGCAATACCCAGCTGCAAGGGAATCTGAGAAAGGCTGTCTTTCTGGAGGCAGCAGAGTGTCCACCTAGAACCGTTGCTATTGAATTCGAACAGAAGACAGAGGAGATAGGCATTTAAGAGATTAGTAGTCCTCTCCACATCCCAACTGCCAAACTAGCCGTCTGTCTGGACCCATGCTGAGCCAGCTCATGGGGTGACCCATGCTCGGCCTTGAGCCGGCATCCTGGACCACTGCAGTTATCCTCTTGACCCAGAGACCCAGAGTGAGGGCAGCCCGATTCCAGAACCCTCGATGTCATCAGTTCGAATTTGTTTAATTTTTTGGTATTGCACAGCCTCTGGGTGCCGAGTGCCTGTTGGCTCTCACCTCCGCCACGGACCCTGGGATGCCAGCATCATCGCCCTTCTACAAATGGGGCCTGTGGGTCATAGTCAGATGACTGGTGGCAAGCCAACCCCCTTGTTACACTGAAGCCTACGCTTTTCTGCCTCCCTGGAAAGCGTCACATCGCTCCAGCACATGGGCAGTCCTGCGGGTCCTGAGCCAAGTCTGAGCCGCCCCTTCCCGGTCAGGCTGGTCCTTCCCATGAGAAGGGTCTCAGTGGCTCAGTAATATCCTGCCCGGAGTGTGATGCCTGGTCCTTTGCAAGACAGAACGGATCTCTCCTGGTGTCCCCCTCAGGAGTCACAGCTATAGCATTCTGCACGTGTGTGCAATAAAATCTCGTCTCTCTGTAGGATCACCCAAGATGAGGCAGAGACCGCCTCCGCGCCGGGATATGACCATAGTAAGTGGACTGTTGCTGCCAGGAAGCCAGCCCCCGACCTAAAATGGGACCATCACTCCCACCTTGCCCTTTCCAGAGATGCTCTTTCCCCTCCACATGGCTGCCTCATGAAGCAGGCCATAGACGTGCCGGTCCCCGCAACAGGGGAAAGGCTAGGGTCCCAGAGGAGCGGGGGAGGGACGCAAGTTACCTGTGGCTTTGGGACAGTTAAGTCTCAGGATGTGCTCTCTGCTTCCTGAGCCCACTTTGCTTTATCGTCAATCAGTCTTCTCAAAGAGGGTGACTTGAAACCAAAGCTGGGGTGAGGCACAAATATTGTGAGTAGTACCATGCTGGTCATTTACTGCCAAACTCCGTTTGTAATTCTTCGTGTACCTTTCTAACCATTGAAAAATGAGGCTTTGACCATTTATTGTGCACCTGCTGGGCACCCTGCAATGTGCTGGGTGCTTCATGATCTTGACTTACTGAACGCTTACAGGGACCCACCAAGTAGATCTCCATTTTACAGGAGATGAAAATGAGGCTCCGGAAGGGAAGGGATTTGCCCAAATGTGCACAGCACACATAAGCAATATTTCCAGCCCAGATGGGTCTGACCTGCAAAGCTGTGTTCTTTCCACAACCCTCGCTTGGCCTGCCCCAGATTGTCATGACTGTAGGTAAATGTCCCATGGTTCTCCTCACTCTGAAGCTGACGGGCCAGTGACCCATCCAGGAGATCAGGATCCGAGCAGTCCTCTGTGTTTTGTCCCTTAGAATCCAAATGGGTCCAGCAGCACCCCTCAAGGGTATTCATGTGCCCCAGTCCCTTAGCACCTTCCCCCTTCAGCCAATGGTAACAGATTTACCCTGGACTTAGCACTGTGTTTAACTGTGCCAGCCTCGTGGTCTCAACCTGCCCAAGCCTCCCATTCCACCCCAAGTGGAGGAAGAGTATTACACCATTGCCGAATTCCAGACGACCATCCCTGATGGCATCAGCTTCCAAGCAGGTCTGAAGGTTGAGGTGAGTGGACCTCGTGTCCCTTTGCCTACTTGTGATTCTCGAGCTGTGGTACCATCCCTGCTTCTCTCATTTCTCTCTTCTGATCCCTTCCTTCTTCCTTTTTCCTCTTCTCTCCTTTTCTCTCCTCTCCCCTCCCTCCTTTTCTTTTCTCTTTTTCTTTCTTGCTTCCTTCCTCTCTTTCCTTCCTTCCTTCCTTATTTCCTTCTTTCCCTCCCTCCCTCCTTTCTGCTCCTCTGCTCTTCTCTTTTTTCTTTCCTTTCCCTTTATTTATTTCTCTTTCTTTCTTCCTCTTTCTTTCTTTCCTTCCTTCCTTCCTCCCTCCCTCCCTCACTTTCCTTCTCTCCCTCCCTCCCTCCCTTCTTTATGACAGCTTTACTGAGGTATAATTCACACCCATACAATTCACTGATTTATACAATCCAGTGGTTTCTGGTACATTTACAGAGTTGTGCAACCATCACCACATTCGGTGTTAGAACATTTTTGTCGCCCAAAAAAGATACCCTGTACACATTTACTGTCACTTCCTGTTTCCCCTCAGTCCCTCCCGATCCCCCTGCCCCAGCCCTAGGCAACTGCTAATCTGCTTTCTGTCTCTATAGTACTGTGCCTGTTTGGGACATTTCGTATAAGTGGAATCCTACACTATGTGATCTTTTGTGACTGCCTCGTATTCTGTTTTTATCACCACCTACTTCCCTTCGTACTCCTTTCTCTCCTTTTCTTCCCACTCCTTTGCGCGTCTGCTCTGTTCCTGCACAGAGGCCAACATAAATCCTTCCTGCCCTTCCAGTTCTTTTCTTTCCTCACAGAGTTAGAGCTTGAGGCTGTCTCCCATGTTTCCTGGAGAGCCTGTAAGGAACGGTGAACTCAGCACTTCACACACAGCCTCTCTCTTAATCTTTTACTCATGCGAGGCAGGACCATTGACAATCCCCATTTTTCGGATGAGGAAGATTTGGCTCAGGAAGAAAGGTGCTGTCTGAAATCACACAGCTAAAACATGGCAGAGCCAAGATGTGAACCTATGTCTTTCTCCAGATTTGGAACCAGGAATGTTCACATTCCTATTGTTACTTATCTGCCGGACATTTGGGAGCTCCAGGAGGATAGAGATCATTTCTGGTTTTCACTCCTGTATCTTTACAGCTAGCACAGTGTTTGGAAGGAATATTGTTGAACTGATGAAAATCTGTCTCCCCGCTAGCCTCCTGCTTAACATTCAGAAGGCCAGGGAGTATCCTCTTCATTCTTACCCATAGCCCTAGCATCAGGGCCGGTCCACAGTAGGCGCTCAGCAAACCATTGCTGTAGGAATAAATGTTGGTATGACTGAAGGAAATAAGGAGTAGTGTCAGTGTGTGAATGTGGTGTGCCCTGAGGGTCTTGAATCACTCTCTACCAGATCTGCAAAGCACCAACACCTCCTGCCTTTCTCTCTCTTTCCCCTCGTGCCCCAGGGGACCAGCGCAGGCAGCCCAGAAGAAGGTAGCTTTCTAAAGACGGATCCTGGGCCTCACCACCACTGATTCCACCCAGGCCTTTCCAGAAGCTTGTCCTCAAGCCAACTGTCTTTCAACCCATTGAAGGAGGGCTGTCTGTGGGGATGTTTAAAGAGCTTGAGCTAAAAATCTCTCAAACTAATTTCTATAAAATGCAAATCCCAGTCTATGTAGACAGACTGAGGGGAGAGCAGAAATACCCACAAAGTTCTAAAAGGCCTCTTATCTGTTTCTCTTGTCCTTTTATTTTCCTTCCATTCTGACCTTCCCAACTTCAAATCTACAGAGAGAACTCACAAGGCATCTTGCTTATGCTATAAGATCATTCTACACCCAGGTCCCCCATTTTGCTGTTGTAAAACTCATACATCCAATTCTCACATGAAGCATGTGCCTTCTCCTTAATGTCTTTTCATCTCGAAGAGCTTCCTCCAAAGCCTGTTCCCATTGCTTTTTTGCAATCCCTGCTGGTCAAGCTGGCCCTTCCCCAGCTCTCTTACTCTCCCTGCCAGGAATGACCTTGCTGTAACCCAGCTCCTAGCACTCCACCTACCTTCTCATAGGAGGCAGTCAAGGTCAATTTTTGAACTGAACTTGGCATCTCAAAATCCAACTCATTCTTCAAATCCCTGCTTCCTCTGCAAAGCCTCCCCTAATTGACACTGGTTTCCCTTCCCTGCCCTGTCTGGCTTCTGTGTGGGGCCATATGTCTCAGTCTTTACCTGAGGGCAGTTCTTGACTTCTGTATATGCTTGCTTTCTTTCTTTTTTTTTTTTATAAGATTTTATTTATTTGAGAGAGAGTGAGGGAGAAAGCACAAATAGAGGGGAAGGGCAGAGGGAGAGGGAGAAGCAGACCCCCCCACTGAGCAGGAAGCCCGATGTGGGGCTCAGTCCCAGAACCCTGGGATCATGACCCAAGCCACAGGCAGATGCTTAACTGACTGAGCCACCCAGGTGCCTCCATACATGCTTTCTTGACATCATGAGAAGTAAGTGTGGTTTTCCCCTCCTTCTTCAGTGACTTTGTGGGTTTTGTCTTCCAAAGTGAAAGTCCTCTTCCCTCAGCGCTTGGAACAGCCTCTGTTCTCCCCTCACATCTAGTGCCACGGCTGAAAAGCTGCTACCTACCTAATCCTTGTTCTCTTGCTCGGTACCTGTCCTTTCTCCAATTCTCTCAAGAGTTCCTCATTATCTTTAATATGCTGGAATTCCACTAAAGTGTGTCTCGGTGTGACTTTTTTGTTTATCCTGCTTGGCATGTGGTGAGCCTTTACGATCCTGGCCTCAGGAGATCTTTCCAGATAATTCCCCACTTTTACCCTGTAAGCATTGCATCCCTTCACTCTTTCTATTCTTTCCTCCTGGGCCAGTTATTATTACACGGCTATGCGACCTTCTGGCCTTGCGCTCCACATCTCTTAGCTTTCCTTTCACATTTTCCATCTTTTGGCCTTTGTGCTGCATTCCTGGAGCATGCCGCTTCCCCTTCTAGCTCATTTAACAGTTCAGTCTGTTGCCGATTTTAACTCCGCAATTGTAATTTCCACTTCTGAGAGTTCTTACCGATTCCTCTTCCGGTTGCCTGTTCTTGTTTCAGCATAAGCTGTTCTTTTAGGAACGCGATGCCCTTCTGTACCTTCTGTACTAAATACATTGAATTTAAGCTCCTATTATTAGGGTCCATTATCTCCTTCCTCAGCTATATGTCCTTTGCCACGGTGCTGGTGTTCCTTTCTGTTCTTCTCATGGTGTTAGTACTCGGCTTGGGCTGTGCAAGGCGAGGCAGCAGTCAGACAGCCCAGCCAGGGCATGTATGGAAAGTGCTGGACACCTGCCATGGGTCTCAGGACCAGGTGCGGGGACTTCCGAGCCAGCCACTGAACGGGGTTGGGTGTCCCTGATCCATAATCCCATATTCACTGCATGTACTTGGGAGCAAATCACCTTCTTTATTCTGCCTGTCCCAAAAGAATGGGGTCAGGTGCATGAGAGCACCCACAACTGGCTGCTTCTGCCGCCGTATGTCAGTTAATTCCCTGTCACTTGGTCTTGCACCTCCCTATCCCCGGGTTCCACCACTTTAAAGTCTGGGGGACCTCAGCCTTCCTCCACCTTCTGTAGCAGGCACCCCTGCAACAGGCGTGGGCCACAGCCTCCCTCTACTGCTTCTGTCCCTCTGTGAGTCCTCACAGTTCCTGGTCCACTAACTTCCCCCCACCCTACCTCCTCCTTCTGAGCTTGGCTTTGTACTCATTTATTTCCCTGGATGTGTTTCATAAAGGGGAAGCCGCTGTTCACTCCATCTCTCTCACTGAAACCAGAAATCCAGTTTGCGTAGTATGAAGGTTTGGGTTTTTTTTTCCACCCCCTCAGAGCACTGAAAAACACAATAAAACCACCCTGTCCTTTAAGACAATGAGTTTCCAGCATTTTGTACAAACACACACCATTGTTCCATGCATGCTGACAATCTGAACATTTGCCGATAGGCACCACCACTCCCTGGCTCAGAATGTTCTGAAATCAAGGCAGCCCAGGATGTCATGGACAATGCCCTGAAGCTGTGGACTGAGTCTGCATGCCACAGGGAGTTCAGGGGATCCCTGAGGCTTTCTGAGCCTCCCTCCTGGCTCCCTCCCCACTTCAATGAGAACCAGTCCTTTTTTTTATTTCTAGCTCTGTGTCCTGTCTCTCTTCGCTAAAGTTGATCCAATAAAAAAGCTCACATACCCAACATTCTTTTAACCAAACCTTGAAACTTCTCTGCTGATTGTTCCATGACATCAGCCTATGGCTCTGCCAGTGGCAGCTCAGGGGACCCAAATGGGAGGTAGTTACCACTACAGTTTTTGGCTTTACCAAGTATTCTTTTCTCATGAGCCATGCTGTACTTGCTAATATTTTCCTCTTTCCCACTTTTGATTCCCGGTTCATTTCAATCTCATCTTGGCCTTCGGAGTTCATTAATGGATCCGCCGTGGTCTAGCAGTGGAGCTACTAGGAACAGCTTAGGTCCTCCTTGCCTGGTCTTTGTATGTTTCAGACATACGTTGATGATAATGATGATATTCTGTGCCTGGGACCATACATGCTTGATAACTGGTCTTCATAGAAGCCCCAAGACTTCTATGATACATTTAGCCCCTTTTACAGATGTACATGAGACAAAGAGAAGTTAGGTCCATTGCCCAGGGTTCTACAGCTGGTAAGCGGTAGAGCTAGAGTTTGAACCCAGGTCTCTGGTTTTAAAGCCCAGCTCTTTTCTTCCCCCTCCATTCTTATGATTTGGCATTTGCTCTTATTCATAACCGTTCTTGGCTTCTCTGTAGTAAACGAAAACTCCCAGAAATTGTGATCAAGAACACAAATGTTTCGAGCTTCTGCCATAGTATTTGCATAGAGTGTAAGCTCAGCAAATCCCCTTTCATATATTTCACTGTGATTATTGTCCTATTTTTGTTTTCTCACATACACAGCATTGTTGAATTTGTGGCTGTGCCTACAGTAACTTGTATGCCCAGAATCACTTTGTTACCGGAGCTACCGAGTGTTGGTGAGACACTGGTCACCGTCACGTAAAGGGCTGGCCTTTATCAGCACCCCTTCTGGGAAACCAGTGGGACACATTAAGTATACACCTGTCACATGCAACCTGCCTTGTCCTTGATCTGCCCTGTGATATAATAATAGGGAACATTTACCTTGCAGCATTTATCAAGAGCTATTGTCTGCATTAGCTTATGTGGTCATCATGAAAATCCCACAACTGTGTGTTACTGTTCTCGCCAGCCTCCCCATCCCTGGCTACGGAATCTCAGCCCCATGGCTTGCACAAGGCCCTGCAGGCAACAAAAGATGGAGCTAAACCAAAACCCAGACTCTGTCTCCTGCACCGGGTCTGCTGCTGCCTTCCCTCTCCAGCTGGGCTGGACAGAGGTAGGCGGTGGCAGGACCCCACCCGTGGCCCCCTTCGCCCCCAGCCCTTGCTCACCTCAAGCACAGCTCCTCTCCAGGCTGGTCCCCTTGCCCAGGCACAGTTGAGTAGTGGTAAAGGCTCAGACTCTGGAACCCACCGACCTGCCTTTGACTCCCGCCTCCGCTGTTAACTTTCCTCATGACCCTCTGCCAGTTCCTCAGTTGTCCTGAGGCTCAGTTCTGCATCTATAAAATGGAACAATAATCCCCATCTCATAAGGTGGCAGCAAGCATTCATCAAGATCTCCTACGCAGAGGGCCTGCCAGGGAATCACAGCCTATCAGTTTGCTCCAGCTGCCATCACAAAATATCACAGGCTGGGTGGTTTAAACAACAGATTTATTTCCTCACAGTTTCAGAGGCTGGAAGTCCAAGATCAGAGTGGCAGCAGGTTCATCTTCTCAAGAAACCTCTGTCCTTGGCTTAAAGGCAGCTGCCTTCTTGCTGTGTTTACACGTGGTCGTCTCTTGTTGTGTGTGTTCTCTGGTTCCTGATCTCTTACAAGCACATCAGTCGTGTTAGCTAAGGGCCCACCCATATGACCTCATTTTGATTTAATTCCCTCTCAAAAGGTTCTGTCTCCACATCCCGTCACATTCTAAGATAGGAGTTAGGGCTTCAACACAGGAATTTGAAGAGGACACAGTTCAGCCCATAACACGCAGCAGACACACCTTTCAGTTAATCCAGCCAGACAGTACGGCACAAAGAGGAGACAGGAAACATGAGACCTTAAATTTTGTGGGTGATTCTGCCCACTGTTCATTCAATGGGCAGATCCCAGAGGGAGAAGGAGAGAAGATGAAAATTTCTTCTGCCTTCATCAGCAGGGGTTCCTGTCTATCTAAACACGAGCTGAGTGTGACTCCCATGTTCAAGGGTATGCATTTTGAGGCGCCTGGGTGGCTCAGTGGGTTAAGGGTCTGTCTTTGGCTCAGTTCATGATCCCAGGGTCCTGGAATCGAACCCCACATTGGGCTCACTGCTCAGCTGGGAGTCTTCCTTCTCCCTCTCCTCCCTGCTCCTGCTATCTCTTGCTATCTCTCTCTCTCTCTCTCTCAAATAAGTAATTATTTTTTTAAAGTATGCATTTTTCATGCCGCATGGCCTCTGATCACCAGCCAAATGCGTCGTCTGGGGCTCAACCAAAAGAGCCACGATCAAGGCTAGCTTTGGCTAAGTGGATTTTGCCTTGGACTTCTTTAGAAACATAGCAGACCCTGCTGCTGGCCTGCCCTGCATCCCGACCCACCCAAGCTGACCTGCAGCTGCAGGTCCCTGCATCCAACAGCCTATCATCTCCTCCACCTGCCTGAAGGCACCTGCCCAGAAAGGCTGGGGGCGTAAAAGCCCTGGGGTGGAGGGGCAGGGACTAGGAATTGGGAGGTAAATGGCCCAATGCCTCAGTTGGGATGAGTCTGCTGGGTCTTAAAGGGTCCCTGGTCGATTAAGTCCCCATGGGTCAGAAAATAAGCTTAGAATTCGCTCTCTCTTTTCCCGTTTCCTTACTTGGGCTTCTTGAAATCACCTCTCAAATTAATTACCTGTACCCAAGTCTGTGTCTCCAGGACTGCTTTGAGGGATATCCAAAATTAGACAAGAACCTACCCCCACGTAAGCTGTTTCCAATACACGGGAAGGTCTTCAGAGATGGTCCACCCCAGCCATTGTCTGGGAATCTGCTGAGTGAAAAATCCCCACTTCTAGATTCTAGGAGGATTCTAGATACTCGGTTCTCCCCGAGTATTCTGGTCCACTGGCCCTGAGGTTTTGGCTACTAAGTGTTCTCCTTTTTCCTCCCCTCCAGGTAATCGAGAAGAACTTGAGTGGCTGGTGGTACATTCAGATTGAAGATAAGGAAGGATGGGCCCCGGCAACCTTCATTGACAAGTATAAGAAGACCAGCAATGCCTCAAGACCCAACTTTCTGGCTCCCTTGCCCAACGAGGTGACCCAGCTCCATCCAGGGGATGCAGCAGCCGTGGAGACCAACACGGGCAGTGAGGCCATCGGCCCCTCCCGGCCCTTGCCCGATGCACCACATGCTGCTGTGGACTCCGGGATGCCGTGGTCCAAAGACTGGAAGGGCGGCAAGGAGGCCCTGAGGAAGGCGTCTTCTGACATGTCCTCATGCGCCGGCTATGAAGAGATCTCAAGCCCCGACCTGGAGGAGAAGCCCAGCCTCCCTCCCCGGAAAGAATCCATCATCAAGTCAGAAGGGGAGCTGCAGGAGAGGGAGCGGCAGAGGATGGAGCAGCTCAGGGGCTCCTCGCCCAAACCTCCAGGCATGATTTTGCCAATGATTCCAGCCAAACACACGCCCCCGGCCCGGGACAGCAGGAGGCCAGAGCCCAAACCTGACAAAAGCAAGTTGTTCCAACTGAAAAATGAGATGGGGCTAGAGTGTGGCCACAAGGTCTTAGCCAAGGAGGTGAAGAAGCCCAACCTCCGACCCATCACCAAGTCCAAAGCTGACCCACCGGAGGAGAAGCCGGAGGTTATGCCCCAGAATCCCTTCTTGAAGTCCAAACCTCAGGTTAGGCCCAAGCCAGCTCCTTCCCCGAGGACAGAGCCACCTCAGGGCGAAGACCAAGTGGATATCTGCAACCTCAGGAGCAAGCTGAGGCCCGCCAAGTCCCAAGAGAAGCCCTCACTGGATGGAGAGAGCAGCCCCCAGGCTGTCGGGGGCCAAGATGTGGCCTTCAGCCGGAGTTTCCTCCCAGGTGATGGGCCTGGCCACGCCCAGGACCGGACGGGCAGACAGGATGGGCTCAGCCCAAAGGAGATGTCCTGCAGAGCCCCTCCAAGGCCAGCCAAGACCACAGATCCGGTGCCGAAGAGTGCATCCGCCCCTGTCCAAGAGGCTCCCCCGCAGAGACCTGTGGTCCTGCCCCGGAGACCACCACCCCCTAAGAAAACCTCTTCAGCCTCCAGGCCCCTCCCAGAGGTCAGAGGGCCACAACGGGAAGCCAGTGAAGGCAAGGCAGCTCCTGCCCCAGGCCGGGCCCTGCTGGTCCCTCCTAAAGCCAAACCTTTTCTTTCTAACTCCTCAGGCAGCCAAGATGACATGCGAGGCAGAGGTGGTCTGGGACCACGGATGGTGGGCAAGATCGGAGAGAACAGAGAGAAACTAGCTGCAACCCCTTTTCCCAATTCTGATGGCCCGAAGGACTCTTTATATGTGGCGGTGGCCAACTTCGAAGGAGATGGAGATACCAGCAGCTTCCAGGAGGGGACGGTGTTCGAGGTCCGGGAAAAGAACAGCAGTGGCTGGTGGTTCTGCCAAGTCCTGAGCGGGGCCCCTTCCTGGGAAGGGTGGATTCCTTCCAACTATCTCAAAAAGAAGCCATAGCCACCTCCTTCCCTGCCTGGCAATCCCGTGCATCTCTGCTGGCTTTACCCACGTTTTTAATTTATCACCCTTCATGCAGCTTCAAAGGAAGGAAGACTCTAGAGCACTGTGGTTTCTTCCCTCCCTTGGGTGGAGAGCAGTCGCCCTCACTGCAGCATGGCCTGGAGGCTCAGAGGCCACACCCCCTGCTTCCTCTCCAAGTCAGCATCCCTGCCTTAAGGCCAGTGGCATTGCCACCCTCTGTAGGCCACCTAACAGCAGGACCGTGACTCTCCAAGGCCTCCAAGACCAGAACCCATTGTCTGGAAACTGCAGAAACAGTCTCATTGCTGGTAACCCACCCAGTCTGTGATGGCTGGCTCCAACTTCTCCATGTTTCTAGAAGTCCAGGGACTTTATTTACTCCGTTTCCAAAATGGTGGGTGCCAGGAAGAATTCCTGCCCTGGAAGTTGGCTCCATTGCCAGTCCCAGAGAGATGTCCTCCTCTGGACCCTGAGGCTCTGGACCCATGAGCCTCTCAGGTTCGCCAGATGCAGCTGCCCCAGGAGTGGGCCCGAAGGTCCACTGAGACATTCTGCCTCCCATCTTCTGGGACCCTGACAGATCCCAGAGGGGTGCTTCCAGCCCCAGCATGCTTCACCGTCCTGCACAGGGCTTTTTAAATAGAAATCTCCACCCCACGTTGGGCCATTTCACATTTGTCTCTGTAGAGCAAGAATCTCAAAGTTGCTTTGAAAGGAGCGGTTCATAATCCATGCCCCTTGGGAGCAACCCTTCGCTAGGTAGCTAGTAGATGCCAGACTCTGTCCTTGGCACTTGACATTACATCCTCACATCAGTCCTCTCTTGGGATATTGCACCTGTGATGGACAGAGAACCTCGGACTCTGTGCCCAAGGGTGGGTACACTAATTAGGAAGAAGAGGAAAGAGGACTTAAAGCTGGCCTGACTTTCATGCCCGTGCCCTTCCTCCAGTAGCAGGCTAACCGGGCAGGGAAAGGGAAGACGCTAAGTGCCAAGAGCAGGTGGCCAAATGGCTTGCTTGTGGTGTGGGTGAGGGGGCATTAGTGTCTGCTTCCACACCCACCACCCCTCCGACCCACTGCAGCTCACACCGAAGCCTGCCCCGCACCCTTCACAGCTTCTCCTCCATGGTGGGTGGGGGGGAGAGGGGGAGTTTGCCCAGAGCTCTGGCGGTTGCCACAGGACCTTGTTTCCTGCTGCTGTACAGGTGCCCCCTCTGGAGGATAAAATTGTGGAGCTGAGGTCGTCTCCCATGCCAGCCTCCAGGGGCCCTGATGGCTTAAAGACTTGCTGCTTCCTGCTCTCTGGCATTCATAGAGTACTTTTCTCTGTTTCCTTTTTGTGCGTGCACTCTCCCTGTCTGTCCTCTCGCTTCCATTTGGACAGACACGGTTCACTGAGGCACATAGAGGCACAGCGACATTACAGAATTAGAATCAGGACCCAGGGTTTCCGGCTCCCAGCCCAGAGTTCTTGCCCATGGACCAGGCTGCCTGGCGGGTGAGAGGGCAGACCTCTTCTTCATCCCACCCTGCCCTGCAGAAGAGGACCCAGCTCGGAGATCTCCGATTCAGTGACCATCTGCTATGATGCTTTGGGGACCACAGGGCCAGCTTTCCCTTGGACACCCACTGTCCGCCTGCAGTGCCAAAGATTTCAGTGCACACAGCCCTTTTCTGCTCTTCCTACCCCCCACGGCCACATGGACTCTGGAGCCTTCTACAGGAGGAGGAGCATTCTCTGATTTCATGGGAGCATCTTTATTCCTTCCTTCAGTCGGTCTGTGAACCCCACCCTGAGGACCTGGGGGGCAGGGCCCTGAGGTGCCTCTAGCAGTGCCCACTTGCCCCTTGGCCCTGTGCCCAGAACCATGGGGGAGGATGGCAGTTGGGGGAAGAATGGAAGCTGGGAGAAGGCCACCCACATCTTCAAGATCCCCACATTTGGAAGGAAGCCCATAGCATGTTTTCCAGAGTTTTTTGACCCACTTTGGCTTAAACAGCTTTTATGAAACTGTTATGCAGAATTTGACTACATTTCAAAAAGACAGAACTCAGCCTCCCCCCCCGCCCCGCAATTCACTCTCTGCTTTCTGTGACCTTTTCAAGTATTTTGTGAGCACCTACCACGTGCTCGGCGCCGGGCAGACCAGGACCCGTGTGGCTCCCTGCCTGGCTCTGCGAGCTGAGGTTTTTGTTTGCTGCTTCCACACAAAGGGTTTGTCTTTGGCCTCATTCCCTCCTCCTGAAGGTCGGCTGAGTGGGAATAGACTAGTTCCACCTTTCTGTGGGCAGAAGTGTTCCTGCAAATGAAAGAACTTGCCTTTTTATTATTGTTATTGTTACTGTTATTGTTATCCTGACGTGAACTGAAGGTACTGAAGCCACATTCCTCTCTGTTCACCGTTCTTTGCTCAGGACGCATCCATGGCCTGAGGACTCCTCTCTCGGGCTCTGTGTGCCACGTGGTGGGCACCTGCACGAGCGACCAGAAAGGGGATGGGTGTCTGGTGGCCGGTGGCTCTCCCTGGCTGTCCTGGCCTGATGATTTAGCATCACAGCACCCAGCCCTGTGGCCGCCATCTTGTCAGCAACCTGATGGAGGCGATACAAAACTCCCCTGAGGTTATGCCCACAGAGAATGTCCCAGGCCAGTTATAACTCCCATGCCAAGCTCCAGGCAGGTCCCTGGTGTTTCAACTCCCTCCTCTAACTTAACCCTGATGACAACCCTCTGAGGTGCCTAGGATCAGCCCTGAGCTGTGGGGAGAAAGTTGAGGTTCACAGAGTGAAGTCACGTGCCCAGTCTCATCCAGATCATGACTCTGCTGAGACTTGAACCCAGGGGTGCCTTCTCTCCAGTGCCCGTGCTTTTTCTTCTGCCAATGGCAGCAAAATGTGCATGGCATTTCCAGGGAAGCATGTGACCCCCCCCATGACAGGTTTCTCCTCCCTTCACCCCATGATCCCATGGCAGTAGGTCACAGGCCAAATGCCAGCCCAAAAGGTAAGCATGTGAAAACCGCAGCTTATAGTGCCAAGAAATCTTTGGAAAATCTGAGTTTTAGGATCCACCACTTGGCAAAATAGACCTTCGCAAAATGTTTCCCTCAAAATCTCTGCCCTTTCGTGGGTTTACATCATTGTCCCAGACTGAGATGGAGGAGCTGGGCTCTGACTTGAATCACTTTTAATGCCCTACCTCACTGAGGAATTGCTAGAGCCCTTAGCGAGTTTCCAGTGATCACTCTAAGCCTCACCACAGGGCCTCCCCATGTCACCAATTTCTTAGGCAAAATTTTTGGCCTTAAAACGTGTCTGAGCCCACTGGGGATCTCAGTACCAGGTGGAGTGTAGGAAAACTGACTTGCCACGTGAAAGGGCAGGGGCCGAATCTCCCCACGTTTTGGAAGGTCCTGAGGCTGAGGCATGGACTATGTCAAGAACAAAGCACTGAGTGGGATAAAGAAGTTGCTCCAGCCCTCGACATCGTCTGATAATTCGACATCATCAAGAGCAGGAACATTTTTCGAATGGCTCCCATCCTTTTATTGTGCCCAAGTCTGTCAGGGTTGGGTCAGGCTGCTCACTGGGAGGTCTCACCCTTCTCTTTGGACTGGCAGTGGCTACATAACAGCCTGAACCACGCGTAGCAGTCTTGTCACTCGCCCTTTGTTGTCCAGGCCCGTCAGAGTTTTTGCTGCAAACCAGCCATACCGTACGATAGACCAAAGATGACCTAGTGTCAAACTCTGGCCCGGAGGAGTGGGAACTTGGCTCGCATGGACACCTGAGAGTTTAGGATGCCCTCCGTCAGCCTGGAGGAATTGCTCCTAACCTGGCTGAGGTTCTGACAGATGGACCACAGCCTGTGACAGACCCAGAGTTAAAACCCAGAGGCTCCACAGTCTTCACCTGCTCATCGACCACCTGCTGAGGACCCTTCCCACAGACTCAAACATGCAGCTCCTTAGGGTAATGTCTGGTTTCTGGTGCTACTGTCATCATGTGTCGGCTTTCCCTCTTTCCTTCCTGTCTCTGTCGTCTACTCCAAAGTAGGCTTCTCAGCGCAAATCAGGACAAGTGACTCAACTTCTGTTGTCCTCAAGGAGGCCAAACCCAGTGCCACAGCCAATAGCCTTCACTTTCAGGCCTTCTGTCAACATACAGACAGAGGTACCCCCCACCGCCACCACCAGGCTTGTTAGAGCAATAAGCAATTCTGACACAACTAGGTGTCCATAGATTTTCTTTCCCCTGTGTGTGCCTGTCTATGCCTCTGTGCCCCTGTAACTGTTAATCATGCCCCTTTCACTTGTACAGGGGAGATGATAAACTATGGTCACCTTAGCTATCCCTATGTTTCCTGCTTCCAAGCACCACCAAGTCACTAGGCCACTTCGTGTGTCCCTCCAGGAATAACAGTGGGGCTCTGACAGGCCCACTTCCTCACGCCTGCTCATAGAGTGATGCTGGAGATCCCCCGAATATCACGGCCCTCCTCATACCCTCTTGGCAAACTGGCAAATTCTGGTGGTGATTTTTGTTTCCTGTTAACACACAAAAATACACGAGGATATATAATGTGAGGGGGGAGGGGTGGCAAACGATTAGCTGTAGCATGTATAGACTATATACCATTAGATTTTTTCTTTTTTCTTTTTTTTTTTTTTAATAAAAATGCTTGACTGGTTTCAAGCTTCATTGTGAAGAGGCCATGTCCATGGATTTGTTTGGCTAAAGAAGAGGCGCATAGTTTTGGGCTCAAAGAACAGAAGCCAGGGTGAGTAGGGGTGACTTCTCTGGGTCCTAGTGCATCTTGATTCTTTGAATTGCGGTATCCAGAAGCTATGGGAAAGCGTCCTTAGATCACGGGGTGTCTCCCACATAGTCTCAGCTCTGTGCCTGAAGATGGAAAACAACACATTTAAGGTGTCTTGAACCTCTCACCGATGTTACCTACTGCTGGGCTAGAGCATATGGTAGGGGGGAGGAGGGCAGCCATGGCTGGGCTGCTGGGACTGCTCACACCATCTGCTCCGGGGAGCTAGAGGGCATTGCCTGATGTGTTATTACCTTCCCAAGGGCAGAGGCAAGGCCACACCAACTCCCAATGTGGAGCCTCCTTGGCCTCAGGTGAATCATTAAACAAAATGACAGTGCCACCCACCTGCCTAGGGAGAGAAGAATAGAACCAGCAGAGGCTCTGGACAGAAGAACATAGAAAGGGGAAATTTACATTCAATATTCACCCTCCCTTTCAAAGAATGCAATGAGCTGACCGACCTTAAGAATAATGGTCATTCCTGTATTAATCTCTGGTCCCCTAAGAAGGAAGAATCATGATGCTCTCTTCAGCCCCCCATCCCTTGGGAGCCTTTTCTCCCAAATCTTCCAAACTAACTGTGGTCGTTCTTAAGAATGCAACTGGTCATGGTATGGGATTTGTGAGGCAGGCATGCAGGGGCATCTGACCCC